TTCTGGAACTAAAGCGGTGCGAAAGGGCCTATTGTAACATTTGTATTGTTTGTTAATATTAGAGCAAAACAGGCTTTTGAGTCAATCTAGAAGTACTCTTGAAGAACAAAGGATTATAACCAAAATGAATACTAAATCAAGGTACATAAATGGCTGTCATCAAATTCTCAGAAATATTTTAATCCAATTAAATCGTATGGAAACTGGAATCAGAATAAGAGAATAAGAAAAATTGTGAATCAAACTGAATTGAATCAAGATCAGAACTGAATTAAGAGCTTGTGAATCAAAAATGAAATTATGAAATCTGTATCAATCCCCAGCCCAACATCTGAGTGATCATACAAAAAAAAAAAACCGTACAAAACCAAAGGTGCCGTGATTCTAGGTGGCCCTTAAAAGAGTCTTTGGGGTATAGTTGGCTCCTACTGACACAAGAAAAAGGGAGGAAAAGAGGAAACATTAGAGAGAGATATTGCATATCTCAGGTGTGGGATGCTTGATCATATATTCATAGTGTGACGAGCGTCCCGAAGCTTCATCAGCGTCGCCCTGGAAACAAGCGAGGAGCACCTGGCCATCATCATCACAGGCTGATCGGTCACAGCTGCACCTCATCAGGCGGCGGCTACATAAGCCACGTAAGCCCTGCCATTTAGGAGATTCCTCCATGAGACTGAGCACTAACTCGCCCTCTCATTTTTCCCACAGAAAGCAGCGTGTGACCGACCAGCCCCACAGGAGCACTGCACGGACCCTCTGCACTGGGAAGAAGGAAGAGAGCACTCACAGCACCGGAGTACCTACCTGGACCTTTCTCACTAGCACCCATCATACCAATAAATCCACCCTCCGGGGTATTGATTGAGATTACTTGTCGTGTGATTCTTCACCCCATTACACTGGTGGAGAATGCGGGCAAATCAGTGAAGAATCACTGACAAGCGATCTACTTCACCTCACCTGTTTTTCCTTGTTTTTGTCTCCGGGTTCTGTCACAGGCGAGCTCTCCTCCCCCACCTTGGACGAAATCCTCCAGCGGCTCACCGAGGTTAGCATCCTTCAGCAACAAATTGTTGAGCACCTCAACACCCGTCAAGGAGAGACGGAGCAGGGACTCGCGGCATTGCGTGCCGCCGCCGCTCAACGCGTTCCGCTGCCGGACCCCTGAGTGCAAGCCGCGAAGCTGCTACCCAAGCTGACCACTCATGATGACATAGAAGCCTTCTTACAAATGTTCGAAGCGATGGCCACCTTGGAAGGGTGGCATCAGAATGACTGGGCACGGGTGCTGGCTCCCCTGCTGACGGGCGAAGCGCAGCGTGCATACTTCACTCTTCCGGCCACCTCCGCCGATCAATATAAGGAGGTCAAGAAGGAAATCCTAGCCCGCTTGGATTGTGCCGCCCAGCACTTCCACGAGTGGGAGTATAAGCCCCGTCTGCCGGCCCGTGCCCAGGCTGCCGAACTCACTCTCCATTGGCTGGACTGGTGGCGGGGCACGCGGTGATTTACCGTCTCCTCCACGCCC